TGGCACCCAAAGTCCAAATTCAGGCCTATTGCAATGGGGGCTGGATTTCTAGGTTCTGCGCAAGGAGGGGGTAATGGGGGAATACTAGAGAAGAAATGGGGGCTGGATTTGGGTAAATGGGTTCTAGGTTTTTTGTTTTTATTTTTTGAAAATTAGCATTTTTTTTTCCTTCAATTGTTTATAAAATAATATATATTTTTAATGATTTAACAAAAATTATTTATATTTTATATATTTTTTTTTAATCTATGCTAGAGATGGGCTCCATTTTACCATAACACCAACTCAAATTGGTGAGTAAATGACCTAGATGCACAAAATTACTAAAACAATCAGACCACGTCATCAAACTTAACGGACTTTTGGATGGAGTTGACAGTAAGGGGCAATGTGGAACATTAAACCTTGGTCAAGGGGTAAGTGGGACACTTTGACTTGAAAGGGGTAAAGTAGGATTTGACCAATGTTTCAAGGTGTATTGTAGCAATTAAACCCTTTTTTTTTTAGTCACAAAGTAATTCCCTCCCTTTGACAAGTACTTCAACCAGCCATGATGTAATATAGCCCGTAAGTATTAGATTAAGCACTTATAGAGAAGAATATAAGACCCAAAAGAAGAATATATAGATCGAAAAGATGAAAGAAAGGACAGAAACAATAGAACAAAAAAGAATATAAAAAAGAACTACAAATCTTCAAATCTGAATTTTAAAGAACAACATGGGGTATTTATAGCAAACTATAACCTAGAGACAATAGGATAAAAATTCCTTGCTAAAATAGAAATCCTAACCCAAATAAAATAGAAATCCTACTAGAATTTGGAAAACTAGAGAATCTAGGTGTGGGGGTCTTTTTCTGCTGGAAGGCTTAGCTGGGCCGGATGGTCGCTAGTCTTGAGTGAAGCCTTCAAGTCCCCGTTTCTGAGTTAGCGAGAACTAGGCCCAAAGCATCCCGAAGGGAAGGCAAGCCCTAGGGGGTACTCTGTTATTCTTACAGCAGCTCCATATTTGACTGGCTTTTGATGCTAATACGTGGAATAGATGGACGGCAGCTCTAGACGGTGTACACTGCTGCTGGATGGTGTACGGCTTCTCTGGAAAGAGTTGAGGATGATGCGCTAGTGTTGCACAGAGATAGGTTTGGCATGGGAGTTTCCTCTGATGAGTTAAGATAATGAGCTTGGCATGAGAGGCTTGTGGTGTGGGAGCTAAGAATCCATAAGTTTAGCAGGAGAGAGTATTTTGCTTGAGGAACGAATGATTATGGCAGTGTATTGTGGAATGATTGGATGGTGTTCAATGCTTAAGGTGATATTATGGAAGAAAATGAGAATGGGGAGGTTAATGCCTGGGTTTTGTGTGTTTATCTAGAGCACGACAGTGCATGGTCTGCTGGGTTGTTTACTGTGGCTAGAGCACGGCAGCAAAAGAAAGGTTACGGCAGCAAAATGAAGGTTACGGCAGCAAAATGGAGGTTTGCTAGAATACGGCAGCAAAATGGAAGCATGGTTTGCTAGAGCACGGCAGCAAAAGAAAGGTTACGGCAGCAAAATGAAGGTTACGGCAGCAAAATGAAGGTTACGGCAGCAAAATGAAGGTTACGGCAGCAAAATGAAGGTTACGGCAGCAAAATGAAGGTTACGGCAGCAAAATGAAGGTTACGGCAGCAAAATGAAGGTTACGGCAGCAAAATGAAGGTTACGGCAGCAAAATGAAGGTTACGGCAGCAAAATGAAGGTTACGGCAGCAAAATGAAGGTTACGGCAGCAAAATGAAGGTTACGGCAGCAAAATGAAGGTTACGGCAGCAAAATGAAGGTTACGGCAGCAAAATGAAGGTTACGGCAGCAAAATGAAGGTTACGGCAGCAAAATGAAGGTTACGGCAGCAAAATGAAGGTTACGGCAGCAAAATGAAGGTTACGGCAGCAAAATGAAGGTTACGGCAGCAAAATGAAGGTTACGGCAGCAAAATGAAGGTTACGGCAGCAAAATGAAGGTTACGGCAGCAAAATGAAGGTTACGGCAGCAAAATGAAGGTTACGGCAGCAAAATGAAGGTTACGGCAGCAAAATGAAGGTTACGGCAGCAAAATGAAGGTTACGGCAGCAAAATGAAGGTTACGGCAGCAAAATGAAGGTTACGGCAGCAAAATGAAGGTTACGGCAGCAAAATGAAGGTTACGGCAGCAAAATGAAGGTTACGGCAGCAAACATGGTTTGCTAGAGTACGTCCTTGTAACCATCCACACCACAACCCGCTCAGCAAGCCCCAGAGCATGTATGTGGCTTGGGCCCACTTAAGCTTGTTGTGTAATTTGACACTAAACAGGGGGTTGCTTGGCATCGCGTGTTATTGCATGCTTATGCTTGGGCTATGTTGTATTGCAGTGGCTTTGGGCTTTGCTGTATTGCAGTGGCTTGGGCTTGTGAAACCTTGTAATTCTTACAAGTTTGCATGTAAAAAGTGGTAAACTCGTACCACCACCCCCACGTGTCAAATTGTAGCCTTGCTTGGCATGGCATGGCATGCTGCTTTTATAACCTGATAATGCATTGGGCTTTAAAATATGCATGGGCTTTTCTTGAGATAAAAAAATAAATTAGAAAACTAATCAATTTAGGTCATATGCATTCTGCATCAAGCCATCAACGAGGACACTTCCTCTTCCAAGGTAATTGGGAACTTGGGTCACGCAGAGGTCCAAAACCTCTAAAGTCCATCATGGCCAAATAAAGAAGAATCAGCAGGGTTAACGCTTGGTTTAATGTCACCCTTCTAATCATGCCCAATGATGAATCATGAGCCTTTGCATTTAGAATTTACACATTTTCTTGCATTTCGCTTGATCTTAGTCGTTGTTGTAAATCTAATGACCTATAACATGACACATCAGCAACTATAAATGTAGTTGTATTTTATGAGAATCACCATTTTTTTTTATAACCTAAAGTTCAATTTTGCCCTTATAATAAAAATAAAAAAATTCAATATTTGAAACTTAAAAAAAAAATGAAAAAAGAAAAACCAAACCCAACACAAACTTCCCCTCCTCTTGCCACCGACATTGGTCACCTGTGGCCCTACCCGTCTCTTCCTTTCTTTCTATCGTCTTCTCTTTGTCACAACCTGCTTTTTCTTTTCTATCAACACAACCCTATAACCTGTAGAAACCATACCCAGAAAATTTCTCACAATAAAACCACCTAATTCACATACCCATAAACACATAATATCAACACAACCCTATAACCTGTAGAAACCATACCCAGAAAATTTCTCACAATAAAACAACCTAATTCACATACCCATAAACACATAAAATGACTAAATCAACACCCAATTTAGAAAGGAATCGCAATTCAGAAAGAATTTTGACAAGAAAAGTTTGCATGGATCCAATTCATTAGCCAATTCAAGTAGAAATCAAAACCTAAATCATAGAGTTGAGGAGCTAAAGTATACGCTACATTCCCTTTATAAAAAAAAAATGCTTTCATTAAAAAGCCAGAAAGGTTACAGCAACAAGCAACATAAAGGAGAAGAACATACATCATACTAGAACTTCTCTAAGAGAAACAACTCAAGCAACAAAGTGCCACAAACAAACATAAAAATATGAAAGACTGAGAAACAGCAATAGTCGAAACACCATAAAGTAACATAACTGACGTCTCAGCAGCAGAGCACTTTGGGACCTCTAGCCTTTTGAAAGCCTATACACTTGGAGAGCAGGGGAGTCCATCATTCCCCAATATAAAAATAAGGGAGGTTGGGGGTGGTGGTGCGAGTGCGACAACGCCGATGCTGGGAGGGGGTGGGTTTGGTTTCTTGTTTTGTTTTTCTTTCTTTCTTAATTTTATTGGAAGGTCAAAATCGGACTTTTAGACTCTTAAAATTAAATTAAACTTATGGTAGTTGCCTATCATGTTGTAGAGCATTGGATTATTATAACAGTTGAGATGAAGCCAAATGTGGAAAAATGTGTGGATTCTAAATGCAGAGGCTTGAAATTCTCCAATTACATGCCACGATTACTGTTATATGAGTAATATTCCAAATATCATGCTCATACACATTAATTATCCCAAGTTTTAAGTCAAATAACATATTAAATTCACACATACTATATAAATGCTAGGAGTCGAATCAAGAACTTTTTTTGAAGAATCAATTGATCAAAATCATTACATTAGTGAATCCTTTGGTCCATTTATCTTTTTCTAAAAGATAATAGTAAGTCACAAAATAAGAAGATCTAGAAGCGCACTCTAGATCCTTTTCGTCCCATTATTTAAAGATTGAGAGAGAGAGGTCTCATACTTCAACTCTTTTACCCGAAAAGAAGTGCATGCCACTAAGCCACTTAAAATATATACAATCTATGAATATTGCCTTTGTCTTTTTAAATAAAAGAAATATCAGTATGAATATTGTCTTGTCTTGTCTCGTAGACACACATACACAAAGAAATTCAAAGAATTAATTATCATAAATAGAAATTTCCAACTTATGAGGAGACATGGAAGCAAATAATCCTATAACCTTCTCACACGCGTAACATACACTTTTGACTCATTCTCCATTGACGACTCCTCCAAACCCTTTTTATTTTTCTTCCAAGATCTTTAAGACAAACTCAACATTTGTTCTTTGGGTACGACTTTTCTTTTCAACATAATATTTACATCTAAACACAAAAATTAAAGAAATTTTACCAATATATAAATAAATGACACTCTCTTTTATTAACTAACAACATAAAAGATGAGAGTAGCGATTCTCACCCTAAACTTTTTTTTCATTTATAAAAAAAAAAACATAAAAAGGATGCTTGTACATAAATAATGTTGACAAAAAAGAGGTCTCATTTTATTTTACAGACAGCTCCACAGCTGTTACCTAGAAAGCGCCATTTGAGCCAATTAAGTAAGAGGTCGAGGTCTTGTGACGTTAAATCCTCCGCACATGAAAAAATCTCAAGTGGGTTTCTTGCTAGACAAAAAGAAAGGTCCCCACTTGCGGGTTGAAATTTTTTTTTTTCCTCATTCTCCTGTCTTTGTTTCAGATCTACAACATATTACACGGTCTCTAATAGTCTAAAGTATTGAGCAGTCAAACAAAAACCAAACCCCCAAAAACAACCATCCGGGTCTGCTCCTGTTCTTCAGTTTTATGATTGGAAACAGAGAGATTTACAGAGAAAAGTGAGATGGGGTTGGTGGGTGTTGGAGAAACTGGAAATGGAGAAATGGGTTTGTCTAGTGTTGCATTGGGAACCAAGAACAAATACAAGAGGATGGATTCTCAGCTCCCAGATGAAGATGAAGGTGCTTCACAGCACCAGCTACAAGAAAAAAGGAGCAAAAAAACCAGGAAATATGTCCTTGCTTGTGCCATTTTTGCTTCTCTCAACTCTGTTCTTCTCGGCTATGGTACATGCTTTTCTTTACTACTTTTCAGTTTTTAAGGTCCTTATTATGTAGGATGTGTTAATGGATGCATCTGTAAATGTATGTATGCCTGAATTTTTGTTGATGTTTGTTTGTGTGTGAAAATGGTGAGCTTTGTATGTTATAAGTTTGTCGGTGGCATTTTATGATCTGCTTTGTGTAGTTAATTGTTGTGCTTAATTGATTAAAGAATCTCTTATTCCTTTCTGATTAATACCAAAACTTGCTAATAATCCTATGTGCTTTATTGGATTGTCTAATTTAGCAGCAAAGGAAAGTAAACTGGGAATTGTATATAAGACATCCAATCCAAATTCAGCCTGTTGAGCGTTCCAAATATTGTTTCTTTCTTCTTTTCTGGTTTTTTTATTTTTCGATTTTAGTGCTCAACATTAATGTCCAACATTTAATCCCTAAATTAATTCTTTGGATCTAATACGTACGAAATCAAACTTTATTGACAAAGTTTTCACATCTCGTCGGCAATTTTGTGTACATATAGGACTTACAATGTGCAAGTGCCAAAATTTTCCATGATATCTATTAATTATTCAAACTAAGTTTGATAGACCCAAAAAATTAATTGAGGGTGTAAAATGGGACAAATTAAAGTTTAGGAATTGGACACGTCAAAGTTCATGTACCTAAAGTGAAATAAACCATTGGCCTTTTATTTTTCCGGGATATCAGTTCATAAAATTGGAAGTAAAAGATCAAAGAGCTAGTTTTTATTATTATTATTATTATGTTTCTGAGTGATTTTATAACAAAATGTATCCCTCCGCCATGAAGTGAAAGGTATAGTTATTTATAGTTATGCTTTCAAGTGATGTGATACTTAAAACTTAGGCTTGTTTGGTGCCTAGGATTGGATTGGATTGGATAAGTCACTAAATCCAAGGTATGTTGAAGGAGGAAGTGAAGGTAGAAGTGAATGATTTTAAATTTGGGGGGAGGGGGGGAGGGGAAGATTAGGAGGGATTAGTTATAAGCTGTTGCTATCCTACCATTTTGTGGGGATTAGATGGGATAAGTTTTCGTCTGAGTAATCCATCTTCTACCTTCAACTTGGTAATTTTTTTTCATTTCTTCCTTAAACATGCTTTAGTTATCCAATCCAATACTAGTCACCAAACGAGGCCTTGGAGAAAATGTGGATCATCCAGTTTTCTTCCAACATTAGGAACTTTCTGTGTTTTTTTATGCTCATATTTGGTATCTTTGATAAATATTCCCCCCCTACGGAGGAACTTTGGCTATATGTTTAATGCTGTTTGCAAATAACGCCTTGATCACTTTCAGTAAAGAAAAGTAATCAGGTTTATACTTGTTCTAAATGTGCCTCGTTTTTTGTTTGATCAATCTGAATCTGAAGATAAGTGTTTGAATTTTCTCAATTGGCAGATGTAGGTGTCATGAGTGGAGCGATCATATTCATTCAGGAAGATTTAAAGATCACCGAGGTACAAGAAGAAGTACTTGTTGGGATTCTGAGCATTGTTTCGCTCTTTGGTAGTTTAGCTGGTGGTAAAACATCCGATATGATTGGTAGAAAGTGGACCATGGCCTTGGCTGCTGTTGTCTTTCAAGCTGGTGCAGGTGTAATGGTATTTGCTCCTTCATTTGAAATACTGATGATTGGAAGACTCCTGGCCGGCATTGGAATTGGCTTCGGTGTCATGATTGCCCCTGTTTACATTGCTGAGATATCACCCACCATTGCCAGAGGCTCACTGACCTCCTTCCCTGAAATTTTTATAAATCTTGGAATTTTACTAGGCTACGTCTCAAACTATGCATTTTCTGGTCTTCCAGCACATATAAACTGGAGGATAATGCTTGGAGTAGGAATTCTGCCTTCGGTGTTCATTGGTTTTGCACTTTTCGTAATCCCTGAGTCCCCAAGGTGGTTGGTCATTCAGAACCGTGTTGATGAGGCAAGATCAGTGTTGTTGAAAACAAATGAAAATGAAAGTGAGGTGGAGGACAGACTGAATGAAATACTAGTAGCTGCTGACACGTCCAGTGGAGGGAAATACGAGGAGAAAAGTGTGACACGTGAACTATTGAGTCCATCTCCTGCACTTCGCCGAATGCTTATCACTGGGTTTGGAATTCAGTGTTTCCAACAGATAACAGGAATAGACGCGACTGTGTATTACAGCCCTGAAATCTTCAGAGAAGCTGGAATTGAGGATAAAACAAATCTACTTGCCGCAACTGTTGCTGTGGGTGTCACAAAGACTGTATTTATAATGGTTGCTATTCTCCTTATTGACAAGCTTGGAAGAAAGCCCTTGCTTTATGTCAGCACTATTGGAATGACTGCTTGTTTATTCAGTTTGTCCTTTACTCTCACTTTTCTTGGGAAAGGGCAGATTGGGATTGCAATGGCAATTTTGTCAGTTTGCGGGAATGTAGCCTTCTTCTCTGTTGGAATTGGTCCTGTTTGCTGGGTTTTGACATCCGAAATCTTTCCTCTAAGGCTGCGTGCTCAGGCAGGAGCACTCGGGGCGGTGGGCAATAGGGTGTGCAGTGGCCTAGTTGCCATGTCTTTTCTCTCAGTTTCCAATGCAATTTCATTCGGTGGAACATTCTTTATCTTTTCTGTAGTTTCGGCTGTTTCAGTTGCATTTGTCTACATCTTTGTTCCAGAAACCAAAGGAAAGTCATTGGAGCAGATCGAGTTGCTTTTTCAGACTGAACAATGGGAAGGGGACGGGGGTCAAGTGGAACTAGGAGATGTTGAGCATCTTGTGCAGAAAGGATGATTGATCAGGAAAGCTCGTTCGATGAACAGAAACCTTCCAGTTCTTACTACCGTTCAATTGGTTTGATAGAGGATACGAACAATTCATAATTCATAGCATTCACGTCACTGATGGGACTATCTTGAGTATGAGCTTGCAGGATGTGGATTTCTGAAGAGAACCTTGCGCTTGTACAGACAGTTCTCTTCAGCCAAATAAATAAGGTAGATACCAAAGGGAGCACATTAAATGTTTGAGTTGTGTTCTTGTTAAGTAAAGAGCTATCTCTTGAGTTGCCTTATAGGTTTCACAATGAGATACTTGTATTACGTTTACAACTACTAGAAAGCGGAATCAAATTCATTTGTTCACGATCATTATTACCTAGCTGCTGCATAATATTTCAGATCACTGAACGATATTAACACTTATAAATGATACTAGTTTTATGGTATCTCTTAAGCTTTTGGGTATCGAAGCGAGAATGTCAGCTCTCAACCCTAGATGGTATCTCTTAAGCAGTCTTATTGTATGTAGATTTTTGGTTATGAGCTGGTTCTGGTTGCTAATGCTTCTTTGCTAGGCCAGCTTGGAGCAATTACAGGTCTCCTATTTTTCTATTCTTTCCCCGCAATTGTAGGGCAGGTGTGGGAAAAAAGTCATCCACCAATTAAAATTATGATGTGATTTTCCACAGAGACAAAAACTATCATATGATTTTTATGGCAGGAGTGGGAAAAATTGGGAACATCCATTGGATGCTTGTTTGGCCTGATTTGGCCTCAACATATTGTTTGGCCTGACTTGACTAAATATGAACCCTATCGTTCACTCATGTTATAACACGTGTGTAAGTTATATTGACTTGGGTTAGACCAGTGAACTTGCTCTATTTCAACCAAGTTTCAATCTCCTCTCTATAAATTCAGACTATCGCTTGTAATAAAAAAAAATTGATTTTGTTAAATAGGCGTTTATTGATTTTATGTGGGGTTTATTGTATAATTAACAACCCAAAAGAGATCTTGATGATTTTTTTGGTGTCAAGAAATTATGATAGTTCTTGACCAAAAAAGAAAAGAAATTATGATAGTTGATATAAAAACAGTACCCGGTGAATTGAAGGAAAACACATGGCTTCTCTGAGAGATTCCAAGAGGAAAAAGTAGGAAAAAAAGCCAAAAAAAAGAAAAAAAAAGGGGACAAACTTGCACAACTTTGGTCGGTGAGGAGGAAAGTTGCAGTTTCTAGTCGCCAATATCAATAGCTGTTGTCCAGCTGGCGTCATACTATAAGTGCATACCACCACCTGGCAAGTGCCAAGTGGCAGTACAACACTACTACTGGAAAGCAAAATGTGAGTAATAGGTTTCGACTTTGTTGATTGGAATGGTAGAGAGAATACAATTACTTTGACATCGAATTCACCTTTGTTTACTTTTCAAGAAAAAGAAAAGACTATGCGTGTTGATTGAATTAGAGGTGATTACACGTTTGGTTAGATTAATGGTGTATTAGCAAATAGCTAGCGACAGTTCAACAGCTCACAGCAAAACTCTTGATTAAGAATAAATTGAATTTTCTTTTGGCAAATTGATTATTCCAGGAATCAAGCACACTTCTTTTGTCCTCACTTTACCTTCTCATGCAATCTTTTAATGGACTTTCTTCTCATAGCGAGTTATCCTAGGAAAATTTATTGGGACCAAACATCACTACAACCACATAATATTTTAGTAAAAGACATTTTACTCTCTTGATCACCAACTGCAACTTTCTAAAATACCCTCAGTCATGATTCATGAAGAACCCACAACCCAACATCTTATTAATTCCTCACTACACCCAGCGAAACCAATTTGAGAAAATGTGGTTCAAATGATGTACTTTGGATTGATTAATTTCAATTTTCGGTCTTGTGTTTTGTTGTCGTATCTGATCAATTTGATGCATTATAATTGGCTTGTAACTATGTTTGGTGGGAGGGACTGGATTGACTATATCAATTAAAATGGACAAGAGTTTTGAGCGTTGTTTGGTGAGTTGAGACTGGACTTGTTAAAATGAATCACAGTCCAATATATTGTGTCTTACAAGTCTCATTTAAAGCGGTGAGACTGATAAGGTTGGCTTGGACTCAACTTCAATCCAATCCAAGCTGAGCTACCAAACCGCGATAGTTAGTCTTTGGTGGATTTGTGAGTTTTTTTTATTTTTATTCAGGAGGTTTAAATTAGAGACCATTACCAAGTAAACTGTGAGGCTTTAGGGTGGATCTTACCTGACAAATAGCCTAGAATGATCGAACTACGCAGAAAATAAAAGAAAAAAAGCATATCATAGTTCACTTTAATCCTATTTTTCCTATGTATAAACCATTTTCAACTTTATTTGTTTGTTCAGTTGGTTATATATATTTTTGAAGAACTAGACCAATAAATTGACACATTTAACAACTTGCATTGTGTTGTGTGTGTATAAATACTCTATAATTATTTAGTACAAGAACTCAAAGTTCAACCTTGATTATTTGTACCAGGCTTTTATTGTAGGGAAGGATTTTGGAGCTCTGTCTGCATACCGAATAGGTGTCCTCCACCCAGAGCGGGTATCTGCAATCATAACACTAGGAACACCTTTCATTCAACCAGGTCCCTCTGTTGTCCAAAATCATCTCCTCCCCGAAGGTTTCTACATATCAAGGTGGCAGGTATATATATCTAAAACCCGCGCTTATGAGCAAAAGTGTTTCCTACAAAAGCGCACTAGTAGCAAAACGAGGCGATAATTTCTTGCCTAATTATAGGAGCCGGGGCGGGCAGAAGCAGATTTTGGCCGCTTTGATGTGAAGACAGTGATAAGGAACATTTACATTCTCTTCTCTAGAAGTGAGATCCCAATAGCTGCTGCTGATCAAGAAATCATGGACTTGATTGACCCTGCTACTCATCTGCCACCATGGTTTTCCGAGGAAGATCTCTCTGTCTATGCATCTTTATATGAGAAATCTGGATTCAGTTTTGCACTGCACGTTCCCTATAGGTAGGTAAAATAAAAATAAATTAAGACCATAAATATGAATTAAGAACTCAATTCAGATGATCCTAGCTAGTAATTTCATTAGAATTTTCCTCAATGGTGCAGAAAACTAAAAGTGGATCGCAGTTTGATTGATCCGAAAGTGTCAGCTCCATCACTGCTTATCGTGGGTGAGAAGGATTACAGCTTAAAGATGCCGGGAGTGAACAACTACATACGGACCGGGGCAATGAAGCATCTTGTGCCCGATTTGGACGTTAAATTCATTGAAGAAGGGACTCATTTTATGCATGAACAATATCCGGATCAAGTTAATCAGCTAATCATTGCCTTCCTTGGCAAACATGGTGCATGATGCAGATGCTTAGTGTGCCTGAGGAACAATAATAATCCATGAGAGAAGAATAATGTCATGTATGCATGGTATATGCTAAAAAGACTGGGCCTTATTAACTTTTGGTTTCTAGAATCTCACTGGCAAAGGAAAGAAGGAAGATTAGTTTTTTCTTTCATGTTTGGAATTAACAAATTACTTATTCTGTAATGTTTACTTGGATTTCACACGGGGCATCCTCCCATCCAGATTCAGGCGAGGCCCCAACGGGCTTAAATTGTCCACAGCGAATTGTTAATTTATTAAATTTTTTTGGTATTAAATTTTGTGAAATCTCCACGCTTGAATTTATTTATTTTATATTTCTCAAAACTCTTTTGAACTTCAATGAGTGCACCACCCAAATATTATAATTGGAATTATGCAAACCTCATATTTTTCAGTTCTCATGGTGCACCCAAATATTGTAATTGCAATCATGTAAACCAAACTCTCATGCCATGAAAATTTTCGGTCACACACTAGCCATAGCGATTATTAATTGTTTTAAAATTGTCATAACTTTTTATCCCAATATAAAATTTAGGGTTAAATAGATAAAAGTACACAATCTTTGGGGGTCGTTTCAAATTAATACCCAACCTTAAAAATCTTGCACATAGATACCCAATTCTCACGAAAAACATGCAAATTAGACACTTTGTTAGTTAGACTATTAGTCAAGTTGCTAAGTGCTGACTGTTAGTTAAATCATGTGGGAAAGGCCACGTCAGCACTTAGCAGCTTGACTAACAATCTAACTAACGAAATGTCTAATTTGCATGTTTTTTTTATGAGGTTGGGTATCTACATGGAAGATTTTTAAAGTTGGGTATTAATTTGAAACGACCCTCAAAGATTGTGCACTTATGTAGTTAACCCAAAATTTTACGTCGTTCTTATTATTTTCAAACTCTCATAAAAAACAAAAAAAATTCACCACTTTCTTTTCCATGACTACAAAATTATAAACAAAAGATAATTTTACTCAACACATAAATTAATTTTCCTAACTAGTGTCACGGTCCGCATGTTGAAGGCTCAACCCAACAATTATTGGGCCAACCTAGAGGATCCATGTGTGAAGGTCAAGCCCCACAAGAGAAGCTCAAGGTCCGGCCAGTCAGATGGATCACTCTAGATCTCTTAGCCCATATGTCTAGATTCAATTTACAGTAGTAGGTATATTCCAGATGGTTAGGTAGCAGTCGATCCTAGCCCTCTATTGTGGTGGTAGGTGGGATAGGATCACTATATAAGGAGGATGTCTCATTGTATATCCTTACCCCTCAACTTGTAAAGCATTGAGTAGCAATACAAGCATATATTCTCCCAAACTCTCTTGTGTGTTCTTATCGTTCTTGCTCTTGTTTTTGTGTTCTTGCTTGGTTCGATGTATTTTGTAGGAAGGAAGGCTGACTTAGCTTGTTTGAGAGGCGATCAAGTCTAAGGCCACATGGAAGGAAGACTCCGAAAAAGTCATCCTGTGATAGTTGGTATCAGATCTAAAGCTTGAATCATTCTAAGAAGCATGTCGAATAGCGGATATGATGTTGAGATTGATATGTCCAAGGTCAACTTGGATCGTAGGGGCAAATCAAAGAAGGATTGATCCAAAGATGTGGTAGCAGCGATGGAGAAGCGGCTTTCAAAGATGGAGAATGCTGTGGTCGAGTTCGATCAGTGACTCGAGGAGGATGTCCTTACGAAGGAAGGCTTTGGAACTGTGGTGGAAGAGCTTCAAGGCCAATTTCAGGGAGCCCTCAACTCCATGCTGGACACAATCAAGTTGGATGTCCAAACCCAACTAGATCATTTCATGGCAGAGCTTACTGCACTTCGTGATGAAGTGAAGGATGTGAAGGGAGATTGGGCCTTGTGCAAAGAAGCTGTCTTGAACAAGACCCGGACTCCGAAGGAACCCAAGGTGTTAAATTCTTTTAAGCCCAAATCCTATAATGGGAAGAGGGAGGCGAAGGAGCTAGACACGTTTTTGTGGAATATCGAAAGGTATTTCAAGTATCTCAAGATGGAGGATGATGAGCCTAAGATTACTACAGCAATGTTGTTTCTCATCGACAATGCTCTCATATGGTGGCGCCGTCGATCCATGGAGATCGACCAAGTTGCGTTTACACTTGAGACTTGGGATGAATTTAAGAAGGATATTATGTTGCATTTCTATCCAGAGAATGTCAAGTATGAGGCAAAGGAGAAGCTGAGATGGCTAAAGCAAACGGGGAGCGTGAAGGACTATGTCGCCACATTCACCAACCTGTTGTTCGAGGTGCCTAGCATGACAGATGAAGACAAGCTCATGTAGTTCATGAGTGGCCTACAGAATTGGGCCAAGCTGGAGTTATAACGGAGACACGTCCAAACCTTATCAGAGGCAATTGCTACAGCCGAGTCTCTTGTGGAGTTCAAGAAGAATGATCAAAGCGACTCCAAGTTCAAAGAAAAGAAAGGTAGCAGTGGATCCAGTGGGGAGACAACAAGTCAAAAGAGGGTAGCAAGTCAGGAGACAAGTTCGACAGTCACAAGTCATCCGCGAGAAAGAATGACAAAGGTGACAAGGGGAAGGACAAGTCGAAGTTAGCTTGCTACTTGTGCGATGGATTGCACATGATGCGGGATTGTTTGCAGAAGAAAGCCTTGAATGCTATGAACTAAGAGAAGGAAGATGAGGCCGACAGGGAAGCAGAAATGGGGGCCATTCACCGCTTCAATGCCCTACAAGCCAAAGTCACTCACCCACAGGTTCAAGCTAAATGAGTGATGTTCGTCAACGCCATGGTGAATGGCAAGACAACCCGTTGTCTGGTGGGTGCCTCGCACAACTTTATGTTAGTGCAGGAAGCAAAGAGACTTGGGTGTCGAGTCTCGAAGGAAGCAGGCAGTATGAAGACGGTGAATTCGACTGCCAAACCAATTGATGGAGTAGCTCGTGGTGTGGAGCTACATATTGCTACTTGGAAGGGAGTAGCTGACTTCTCTGTGATCTCGATGGATGACTATGATGTCGTGCTAGGAATGGAGTTCATGGACAAGGTAAAAGCATTTCCTATTCCATTTTACAATACTATGTGCATAGCACAGGGTGGAGGAATGCCATGCATGGTGCCAGTGGTGAGGCAACAAGGCGAGTCAAAGCATTTGTCAGCCATGCAATGACATCGAGCGGAGGTATACCATGGACACCCATTGGATTTTGAGAGTAGAAAGCTCAATGACATCGAGCGGAGGTATACCGTTCAAGAGAAGGAGATGATAGCCATAGTGCACTGCTTGCGAATTTGGATGCACTACCTACTTGGTTCTCAGTTCGTGGTCAAGACTGACAATGTTGCCATAAGCTACTTTTAGTCCCAACAAAAGTTGTCACCCAAGCAAGCTAGGTGGCAAGACTTCTTGGCGGAGTTCGACTACAAATTGGAGTACAAGCAAGGGAAGACGAATGTCGTTGCTGATGCCTTAAGCCGGAAGGCCACACTAGCAGCTATTGTACAACCCCAAAGTTCTCTCATGCAGAGGATACAAAAGGGTTTGTTGCATGATCCCCAAGCCAAAAGTCAGTTGGAGCTTGTCAAAGATGGGAAGACAAGAAGATTTTGGCTTAATGATGGTGTTCTCTATGCAACAGGGAAGAGAATCTATGTTCCAAGATGGGACAATATGAGGTGAGAGCTACTGAAGGAGTGTCACGACTCGAAGTGGTGGGTGGGACATCCAGGCACTCATCGAACTTTAGGATTGATGAGAGAAGCTTACTGTTGGCCATAGATGCGGGAAGATGTAGACTCGTTCGTGCAGACTTGCCTTGTATGCCCAACAAGACAAGACCTTGCAAAAGCAGCTGGGTGGGTTGCTAGAGCCACTTCCTATTCCAACTAGACCATGTGAGAGTTTGTCCATGGACTTTATCATGAGTTTACCCAAGTTAGAAGGGTGTGGCTCTATTTTGGTGGTGGTCGACAGGTTCACCAAGTATGCTACCTTCATCCCAGCACCGACGGGTTGCAACGCAGAGAAAGCTGCATGCTTGTTTCTGAAGCATGTGGTGAAGTGTTGGGGGATCCGCAAGAGTATTATCAGTGACTGTGACACTCGCTTCTCTAGTAAACTTTGGACGTTGCTCTTCAGGCTACTTGGCTCACAACTGAACTTATCTACCAGCTTTCACCCATATACAGATGATCAGTCAGAATGGGTGAATACATTGTTGTAGTTATACTTGAGGCACTATGTGAGTGCCAACCAATAAGATTGGGCAAAGTTGTTGGATGTTGTTCAGTTCTCGTACAACTTGCAGGGATTGGAGTCGACAGGGTCAAGTCCTTTTGAGTTGGCAATGGGACAACAACCTATGACATCGAACACAGTGGTGTCAGGCTACACGGAGAGCAGCCCTGCTGCATACAATACTGCCAAGGACTGGCAGGTGACTAATGAGCTAGCTCGGGCTCAATTGGAGCGCACATGATGCGGGATTGTTTGCAGAAGAAAGCCTTGAATGCTATGAACCAAGAGAAGGAAGATGAGGCCGACAGGGAAGCAGAAATGGGGGCCATTCACCGCTTCAATGCCCTACAAGCCAAAGTCGCTCACCCACAGGTTCAAGCTAAATGAGTGATGTTCGTCAACGCCATGGTGAATGGCAAGACAACCCGTTGTCTGGTGGGTGCCTCGCACAACTTTATGTTAGTGCAGGAAGCAAAGAGACTTGGGTGTCGAGTCTCGAAGGAAGCAGGCAGTATGAAGACGGTGAATTCGACTGCCAAACCAATTGATGGAGTAGCTCGTGGTGTGGAGCTACATATTGCTACTTGGAAGGGAGTAGCTGACTTCTCTGTGATCTCGATGGATGACTATGATGTCGTGCTAGGAATGGAGTTCATGGACAAGGTAAAAGCATTTCCTATTCCATTTTACAATACTATGTGCATAGCACAGGGTGGAGGAATGCCATGCATGGTGCCAGTGGTGAGGCAACAAGGCGAGTCAAAGCATTTGTCAGCCATGCAATTTTCCAAGTCTTGAAAGAAGGGTGAGCCGATGTTCCTTGCAACTATGAAGATGGATACAGTTGAGAAAGAAGTTCAACCAGTCCCAAAAGCTGTGGAAGCAGTCCCTAAGGAGTTTGCAGATGTCATGCCCAAGGAGCTGCCCAACACCTTACCACCTAGGAGAGAGGTGGATCATGCCATTGAGTTGGAACTGGGTGCCAAACCCCCTGCCAAAGTGCCGTACTAGATGGCACCTCCTGAGATGGAGGAACCAGTGCTGAGACTACTCGATCTTAGCAAACCTTTTGAGGTACACATTGATGCATCAAATTTTGCTATTGGTGGTGTATTCATGCAGGATGGACACCCATTGGCTTTTGAGAGTAGAAAGCTCAATGACATCGAGCGGAGGTATACCGTTCAAGAGAAGGAGATGACAGCCGTAGTGCACTGCTTGCGGATTTGGATGCACTACCTACTTGGTTCTCAGTTCGTGGTCAAGACTGACAATGTTGCCATAAGCTACTTTTAGTCCCAACAAAAGTTGTCACCCAAGCAAGCTAGGTGGCAAGACTTCTTGGCGGAGTTCGACTACAAATTGGAGTACAAGCAAGGGAAGACGAATGTCGTTGCTGATGCCTTAAGCCGGAAGGCCACACTAGCAGCTATTGTACAACCCCAAAGTTCTCTCATGCAGAGGATACAAAAGGGTTTGTTGCATGATCCCCAAGCCAAAAGTCAGTTGGAGCTTGTCAAAGATGGGAAGACAAGAAGATTTTGGCTTAATGATGGTGTTCTCTATGCAACAGGGAAGAGAATCTATGTTCCAAGATGGGACAATATGAGGTGAGAGCTACTGAAGGAGTGTCACGACTCGAAGTGGTGGGTGGGACATCCAGGCACTCATCGAACTTTAGGATTGATGAGAGAAGCTTACTGTTGGCCATAGATGCGGGAAGATGTAGACTCGTTCGTGCAGACTTGCCTTGTATGCCCAACAAGACAAGACCTTGCAAAAGCAGCTGGGTGGGTTGCTAAAGCCACTTCCTATTCCAACTAGACCATGTGAGAGTTTGTCCATGGACTTTATCATGAGTTTACCCAAGTTAGAAGGGTGTGGCTCTATTTTGGTGGTGGTCGACAGGTTCACCAAGTATGCTACCTTCATCCCAGCACCGACGGGTTGCAACGCAGAGAAAGCTGCATGCTTGTTTCTGAAGCATGTGGTGAAGTGTTGGGGGATCCGCAAGAGTATTATCAGTGACTGTGACACTCGCTTCTCTAGTAAACTTTGGACGTTGCTCTTCAGGCTACTTGGCTCACAACTGAACTTATCTACCAGCTTTCACCCATATACAGATGATCAGTCAGAATGGGTGAATACATTGTTGTAGTTATACTTGAGGCACTATGTGAGTGCCAACCAATAAGATTGGGCAAAGTTGTTGGATGTTGTTCAGTTCTCGTACAACTTGCAGGGATTGGAGTCGACAGGGTCAAGTCCTTTTGAGTTGGCAATGGGACAACAACCTATGACATCGAACACAGTGGTGTCAGGCTACACGGAGAGCAGCCCTGCTGCATACAATACTGCCAAGGACTGGCAGGTGACTAATGAGCTAGCTCGGGCTCAATTGGAGAAGGCAACTCGGAAGATGAAGAAATGGGCGGACAAACATCGACAAGATGTTGTATTCCAACCAGGCGATTTGGTCTTTGTGAAGCTCAACCCCTCTTAACACAAGTCTACTAGAAAGGAGATATGAGGGTCCATTTCTTATCATCCGAACAGTGGGAAGAGTTGTTTATCGTGTGGAACTACCGCCACGATTGAAGATTCATCTGGTGTTTCATGTGAGCAATCTTAAGCCCTATCATGCTGACCTAGAGGAGCCAAGTCGTGGGGAGTCTCAACGAGCTCCGCCTTTAATGGTGACTTCATTTGATAGGGAGGTCGAGTGCATCATGGCCAAACGTGAAGTGCAACGCCAAGGTGTACCGAGGTACTTGGAGTACTTTGTCAAATGGAGAAGGAACTACCGTGGCTACGCGGACGTCACCGGATTAGGTGGTGTAGAATGTCATGGCCCGCATGTTGAAGGCTCAACCCAACAACTATTGGGCCAACCTAGAGGATCTATGTGTGAAGGTTAAGCCCCACAAGAGAAGCTCAAGGCCCGGCCCTTCGGATGGATCACTCTAGATCTTTTAGCCCACATGTCTAGATTCAATGTACAGTAGTAGGTAGATTCCGGATGGTTAGGTAGCAGTTGATCCTAGCCCTATATTGTGGTGGTAGGTGGGATAGGATCACTATATAAGGAAGATGTCTCATTGTGTATCCTTACCCCTCAACTTGTAAAGCATTGAGTAGCAATACAAGCATATATTCTCCCAAACTCTCTTGTGCGTTCTTATCGTTCTTGCTCTTGTTTTCGTGTTCTTGCTTGATTCGATCTTATTTTGTAGGAAGGAAGGCTGACTTAGCTTGTTCGAGAGGTGATCAAGTCTAAGGCCGCACGGAAGGAAGACTCCGAAAAAGTCATCCCGTGATACTAGGCACCCCTGGTAGGTGGGCACAATTTCAAGTTAATTCAACTGAACCGCTCAACCTGATCATTAGAGAGTTAGGTTGGGCTAGCCTAATAATGAGTGGGTCTTGGATTTAAAAAAATCATAAATCGTTGTGTATGGGTTGGGTTAACCACAACTTAAAAGTAGGCTTAAGTTTGCGTTAACCCAACCGAATCGCCTAACTCGATCACAAAAGCGTTGGGTTAGGTTGAGTTTGCCTAATAATGACCAGGTCGAAAGCAAATCCCACAACGCAGACACTTAACTCAATGTATCAGGAAGCCTGAGGTGATTAAATACACACAAAAAATTCCCCCTTATATTATCTTTCTCTCACTCCTCTTTAAATACACACACACAAAATGCTAAATGATACATTTGGTCCTTTTTGTTTTTGTTTTTTTCTTATATCTGTGGTCCTCTTAGTTTGACAATTTTGTAAATATGGCAATATGCAACCATCACATGTGAAGATACTTTTTTTTTGTTTTTTTTGTTGTGTCAATGTAATTCTATTCAAATAAATTGAAAAGGATTACAATAGAGTGGAGAACCACAAGCTAAAGATAACCTAACACTAACAAAACTAAAAACAAAGGCCCAAACAGTAAAGCACATAACAGGCAAAGTGAAGGCCCAAATACAAAATTCATAATTGAAGAAAAAGACAGAAAAACCTAGATTTGATCATAAACGACAACCACGCCACTCAGAGACCACCTGCCGCAACACCATCGCAAATCCACAATCACCGAGAAGGATTAACTGGTAATAACACATACCAAAGCTCCAGACGGAAGATGGGGGGGAACTAGCCACCTGCACTTTTGTCTCTTTGAAACATGGATATCAACTCAAAACATTATAATGTCGTCTATTTTTCTTAACAATCTGAGATTTGTAGGACTTTTTTGAGAGAGAGATTTATAGGACTTGATTGCTAATTAAATTGCCAAAAATAAAATGACGCGGACTAGAGTAGAAAATGTGTCAAATCACAATAACAAAAAATGTAATTTGAAAGAAAAAAAAACATACATATTTGCTAAATACTATCCAATTTTATTATTATTATTATTATTATTATTATTATTTTTAATAGAAGTGATAGTCTAAACTATAAAAGGAGGCGCGATGTGAGGGGCGAGGGAATGAGTTTCTCACACACACACTGCTAAGGTGTCATGGCAATTCGAACCTGAGATCACTTGGTCCATAAATCACTATTTTCCACTTGGGCTATTCTCTTTAAATGTGAATTAGGTGAGTTAGGAGGAAATGACGATTATGTTACTAAAAAGTCAATACCTATATATATCTTATTAATTTAAGTCAAATAATATGGTAAAATATTTTCTGATATATTTCATTCTCCGAAAAGAGGTATTTATAATACAAGGTTACAAACCCTAGTAGGGTTAAACTAGGAAATAAGTGGAATCCTAATTACATAATATCTATACAAAAGGAAATAAATTGTAGCCCAAATACTCATTAAACTCTCATTACCAAATAAAATAAAGTACTTATAACACTCTTTTACTGCGACTATCAAAATTATAAATAAAAGATAATTTTAATCAACACATCAGTTAGTGTTGCTGACTAAGCCCCTGCCAATTTTTTTTCTTCCCCAAAGTTAGGAAGGAGGAGAGGGAAGACTCACACACACGGGGCCATGCTCAAGATAACTTCGGATCACACCAAAGGTCATAGCCAATCCAACTAACACCCAAGAACGTATTTTGATAATATTAAAAGAAAATAAAAAGATATGGAACAATTTGGAGAATGAGATGAATGTGAAAAGATAATTGATGAAAAATAGGACATAAAGCAAAACAATTGTTTGTTGTTCTTCTTCTTCTTGTTTTTTTTTCCCCGAAAGTTTTATTATATATAGGTCATTCCATGTACCTTCTATGGTCATCTATTTCTTAACAATGTTAAACTAATAGGACTTGATTGCTAACTAATTGCTTAAATACTATCCAATTTTTGTTTTGTTATTTTCAAATGTTGGTAAGCTAATAGAAATAAATGACGCTTATTTCACCGAAAAGTCAAAACATAAAGACAGCAGTGGCAATCCAATAAACGCTTTAAGCTTGACATCATCCATATATATATATATATATATCTATTTATTTCCCTGTCCAATTCTCTCTAGCTTGTTTAGTTTTCTCCGTCCACCTACGAGTCAAGAGTCTCTCCATCGCTTCTCAATGGAAAACATCCAGCATAAGCATGTAGAAGTAAGAGGACTGAAGCTTCATGTAGCTGAAATCGGAAGCGGTATGATCATCCCAAATTCTGATTTCTCAACTACTTTTCAGAAGTGCTTTTTCCTTGTGACAACTTTGACTTTTTTGTGCAGGACCAAAGGCGGTGGTTTTCCTCCATGGATTTCCAGAAATATGGTACACTTGGAGGCATCAATTGGTTTCTGTGGCAAGCAAAGGCTACAGGGCAATAGCCATTGATTTCAGGGGCTATGGTCTTTCAGAGCAGCCAGCTGAACCAGAAAATGAAACCTTCATCGAGCTTGTCCACGATGTGGTTGCCCTTTTGGATTCTTTGGCCATTGATAAGGTAATATCTAATTAATTAATTCACTAATTAAAGTATTCTTTTGCCAGAATATGTACCTGTTTTTAGGCAGTTTAATTTCTTAATCCCAATTATGTGGTGGTTTATGTTGAATTAACTAAGAAGATTATTGCTCTAGTGTTCAATCGTTTTTTTTTTTGGTTTTTGGGTTGGGAATGAGTGAACTATCTTTTTTTGGTCCCCATTTTTCTTAGGGAATCTTTCAACTTCTTGACTTATTGATAGAGACATCCCATCAAGAGTTAGAAACTTGTCTGGATGCATCTATCCTATTAAAAATTAACAAAAATAAATCAATAAATATTTTTTAATGAGCAAAAGTTTAAGGGAAGGGGAGGCTACCCATCCCAGGGCTAGAGCATACCAAGGCCTCTTTGAAGACTTACAAAGGAGGGGTTCCAGTTTGGGATTGCTGTCACTTTTAAAAAAAGTTGCTTCTGTTGTGCTTTGAAAATAATTAGCTGTAAAGTAAAATAGCTTCATGTTTGGTAAACAATATTTTTAAAGTGCTGTTAGTACAAAAAGTATTGTCAAAACTGTTTGGCAAATTTTAATATAAAACAGTTGTAACTGTGAATAATGACTAAAATAGACATGATGTTGAAAGTGTTATATATGCGCTAATCATGTGGTGGTAGTGTTTGAGGTGGTGGTGGTGGTGGTGGTGGTGGTGGTGGTGGTGATGAAGGTGGAGGTGGTGGTTGTGGTAGTGGTAGTGGTGGTGGTGGGGATGGTGGAGGTTAAGGAGGAGGAGGTGGTAGTGGTGGTGGCGACGTGGTGATGGTAGTGGTAGTGGAGGTGGACGAGGAGGTGGTGTTTGTGGTGGTGATGGTGGTGGAGGAGGAGGATGTGGTGGTGGCGGCGGCAGTGACGGTTGGGGGTGGTGGTGGAGGTGGTGTCATTTTTAAAAATTAATGATGGTATTTTGGGATTAAAAAAAAAGTATTAAAGACTCATATGTGCTTCTTTTGAAAGAAGAAAAGCAACACAGAGCTTGCTTTTAAAAGTTGCTATCAAAGGGCCACTGCTTTTAAAATAATTGGAATATTTTATTTTTACCAAACACCTTAAACTGCTTAACTTTAAAGTGAAACAAGTTTTTGGTGAAAAAAAGTAATCCCAAACGGGGCCTTAGTCCTTTTTTTGGTTTTTACAGATTACCCACTAAGAGCACTTCCACATCTATGGGCAAGGGCAAGGCAAGGGCAAGGCAAGGGCAATTACTATTCACATGAGATATAAGGAAATGAATTTATATAGAGTTTTTGGTGTGAGAAGTAAATAATATGGCTAGGTATTTATAGAAAATAAATTCTGAAAATTTTGGTATTTTTTTCAATTTTTTTTGGTTACTGACGTCATTATGACGTTAGCATTGTGTCATTTTGCCTAGGCTGCTCAGGCTAAACTTGCCCAAGTTGCTAGGGCCCACTGTTTGCCCTGGCTGGAACTCTTGCGTTGGAGCTGCCTTTGGTTGCTTGGGCCCCTTCTTGCCAGGGCTCCCCCTCAGCGGTGGAAGTGCTCTAAGAGGGATTGTTGGTAATGGGACTCAAACCTAGGCCTGGATAGCAAAGAGAACAATCCTTACTAACTCAACCAACCCTTGTTGGTTTTGAGAGATTTCTCCAAAACCTTCGACATCAACTCCAAAAAATAAATATTTCAATGCCTACAAACTTGCAGTTGATTGTCACACAAAAAATAAAAAGGCTACAAACTTCAAATATTTCTGACCCGACCTTTTAAATCAGAAATGTTTCTTCTAGCTTCCACTTACCAATCTCATTCTCCAACCCTGGTTTTCAAGAAAAATATAGTGGTTTGTTTATTTATTTATTGTTTTCTGAAGAACTCAAGAAAAAACTTTTCACATAATTATATAGAACAAATTCATGAGAATCAAAAACAAGCAACTGACAAGTAGATATCATGAGCTCTACCCAAGTGGTAGGTCCTTTCGCCCTCTTCGTTTGCTCTACCGTTTGTTGGTAGTATACCCCATCCGTTTCCCTTTTCCTTACCTTTCCTTTTTCCCTTTTCCCTTGTCCTCACCTTTCTCTTTCACTTTCGCTTTCTCTTTGTTGAATCCCATCATGACAAATTTACACCAGACTGCTGAATCTCTAGCTTCACGGTTGGAGGACTCTTTCGACCTTGACGACGTGGAAAAAGACATCGTCCTGGTGGGTGCAATCATTGCTGATGTGGTGCCCAACATTGGTGGGATCAAAGGAGCCCTTCGATCTGCCCGGAGCAGGCTGGGCGCTTTCTCCATCTCCCACTACAAACGAAACATTTTCACCATTTCTACCTCCAGGGATGTGGCATCTCAGATTCTTGAGGGTGCCCCCTGGAACACCATTAATTACTGCTTTAACGTGGTGGTCTGGCCCCCCCAGCTAACCATTGAGGAGGTACCCATACACCTTATCTCCTACTGGGTCCAAATTTCAGGCCTAACTCTGGAGAAGATGAATGCTGCAAATGCCAAAACCATCGGGGAAGAAATTGGTACAGTCCTGGAAGTAGAAGATCCTGTAATGGGTAAAGCCTTAACAAGGGGTTTTCTCAGAGTCAAAGTTCTCGTAGACTCACACAAACCACTACCCACTGGTTTTTGGCTCCCCAGATCCGCTCACCAATCTATCCGTGTGGAGTATTGCTACGAAGGCCTGGGGGATTTTTGTTATGCTTGTGGATTACTGGGTCACTGTGAGAACGCTTGCAAGGGAAGTCCTGAGAGCAGTCCAAGCTTGTCGGAAACATCGTGGTATGGTCCATGGATGAAACGGCGCCTTCCTCCGGCCTTCCCCCCACCACCTTTGGAGCGCCTGAACCGGGCTGGCCGGAGGAGACCCCCATCCGCACTTATCTCGAGGGAGGATCCTGTGCTGCCTGTAATACATTCTCTGACACGCGAGGTTGATAACTCGGTCACCGCGCCCATCAAGTCCTTAGTGCAATCTGACATGGGTTCTGCTGTTCCCCATAATACTGCCAGGGTAGCAACTTCTAGCCACCTTATTGCTCACAACCTGAAGTTACTGCCGCAGCGATCACTCATGTCCCCTAGCTCTGAGGAGATGAGACATCGGTTTCCACCCGCTGGCTTCCCCAGCTCCAACGTCTCCACGCGTGCTGTGACCCCTAGGGGATGGAACCCACTATGCGACCAGGCCCAAGCATCTAAACGCCAGCTGGAGTGTGATTCGGGCTCAACCTTTTCTGTTTGTGCTGCGGGCCCAATATCTCTACAGCCACGAACTCTGAAGGCTTCGCTTTTGCAGCATCCTTGCGAGAATTCTTGTGGCCCACATGATTTGACACTAAGGGGTAAGGGCCTAATGCAAACGGACGCGGATTGTCAACCCGTTACCTCACCTCCTCTCGTCTCCTATTCATTCATGCAAACTACCCTCCCACCAGTATCTACAAAACGACGTGCTGTCATTCACCCTTACGAGGAGAGCCTTAGGACTTGCAAGGCGCGCATCCTGCCTGATCATGATACTATTGACGTCGATTCTCATGGGCTGGTGGCGGTCCCTACTCGGGTCGGTGGTAACTGGAACCGTGGTAAAGGTCGAGTTAGAGGCATTAGAGGAAGGGGAAAACGTGTCATGGGTGGAAGGGTGAGGCCCTGCGATAATGAATCTGCCTCCTACGTATGGGATTTGAACCTACGTAACTTCAAAGAAGTACGGGTGGAGTTCGTTGAGAAGCTCCCTGTGGGCGATCCCCAGCTTTCGGATCAAAATGTGGAGGGGCGTTCCCACCTCCAAGGTTGTGGTGGCTGGCCCATGGCAGCCACAAGTCCTCAATGAGCCACCTCTCTTGGAACTGTCAGGGCTTGGGGCGTGCTCTGACAGTCCAAAAGCTCCGGGAGCTTATCCGCTCTCATGCCCCCTCTATGGTTTTTCTTATGGAAACTAAACAGAACTGCCATAGAGTGGCTATGCTCAGAAGAAAGTTGGGTTATTTCAAAGGTTTTTGTGTTGATCCCGTGGGTCTCGCGGGGGGCTTGACTCTCTGGTGGCGACCAGAAGTTGATGTCGAAATCCTTACCTCTGATAAGAATTTGATCGATACTATTGTGATGAATA